CTGCTATGTTCGTAGGGGAGGGGCCTGAGGGGAGGCACGGGGGATTGGTCCGCTTTATCCCTGGTGCTACCGGCCGTCCCCTGGCCGGTATCCTAGGCTCGAGGGGCCGTAAAAACATGGCTCTGGTATGCTCCGGTTTCCCCGTATGCCTATAGGTAGGAGTAGTGGTAGGTAGGTAGTGTGAGGAAAAATTGAGAGAAGAGTATAGTTAAAAAAAACAAAAACAAAAAAAAGAGTGCTCATTACTTTAATCATTGCCTCCAGGTGCGAAATTCAAATGGTCCAAAATTTGCATGGTCCGAAATCATTGCCTCCAGGTCCGAAATTCAAATGGTCCGAAATTCAAATGGTCCCACTTTAGATCCGAAAGGGAAGGAATGTTGATTCCCCCCGGGGGACTTTCTATGTTTTTGGTTTCTACTGCCAGAAATGATGAACATGACATTGTTTTTTGTTTCGATTGGGAAAATCACACAATTGTATCGAGGAATTTATTTGTTTTTTTGGGTCTGAATTGGTTTGTTTTCTGTAACGTTTTTTTTGGGGAAAAGCCCACAATTCCACCCCGACTGGGGCAGTTCATTTGGGAAAAAAATAAAAATAAAAAAATCACCGGTTAGTATCTTTCTCGGCCTTTTGGCTAAGATCAAGTGTCGTATCTGTTCTGATTAAAAAAAAAAAAAAAAAAAAAAAAAAAAAAAAAAAAAAAACCGTGGGTTACCGGCACAGGTTTATAAAGCTTGCTCCTTTACAACAACAAGAAGTTGAAAACCAAAAAAAAAATAAAAATAAAATCATGAATCCCGGAAAAAAAGCCAGGTGGGGCGGCACCCTGGAAATTCACAGCCTTGGTTTGAATAACTGACAGTTGAGGTTCACTCGCCTTCTCCAAATTCGCGGAGTGCCAGCGCTGCAGTCCATACACTGTCATTATGTGTCATACACTGGATGCAGCAAAAAAGGGGAAAAAAAAGTATGTTTCTTTCTAAAAAAGGTATTGTGGCTTTCCTTCCTTTTTTTTTTTTTTTTTTTTTTTTTTTGAATCAACCCGATAGGATAAGAAGAAGAAGAAGAAGAAGAAGAAGGGCCTCGCCACACCACTCTCGAAATGTGGAAAAGACAAAAATGTGGCGGGTGCATTTGGCCATTTTCTAGCAGGAAGTTCATTCTCATTTTGCACCTTTGGAGAGTGGTGTGGCTATGCCCGAACAAGAAGAAGAGCTAGAACAGCCTGCAATTCTGGGAAAGGCACTTTTTTGTCCTTTCTTATCAATTGCGAATTTTCATCGATGGTTCTGCTCGCTGGCACACTTCAGATTCGGGTGTGGTGGTAGGCAGCGTTGACCTTTGCGCCTAGTTGCACTGCTCGCGACGAAGTCTTGAATGCATCTGGCAAAATTTCGTGTCCAGATGCATTCAAAATGTTGGCCGGGCTACTAAGCCCTTTCTTTATCACAAAGATTTTGAATGCATCTGGACAGATGTCCTGTCCAAATGCATTCAAAATGTTGTCAATGGATCTACTAGGCCATTTATCACAAACACCCGAGGACTCCTGTGCGGTGTTCGCTACAGTTTGGGTGATGGCAAGATTACTCACCCCCCCCCTCTTTTTTTTTTTAATTCTTTTTTGTTCACCCCCCCCTCTTTCCCCCCACTCCACGCTCCCATTGTGGAGATGCGAATAAAATCGCATTCAATTTGAGTTGGGTTTCCTCACGTGCACATCTCCACAAACACGTCCAGATTCTGGCGCCCCGAGGAAACTTGATGCTGGTAGCAGGACTTGGCCCCAGGATTTCAAAACCGCCAAGAACTGTTACAATGGTGGTCACATCGGGAAGAGTGGAAAAACTGCCAAAAAAAAAAAAAAAAAGTGGAAACACTGGAAAGCCATGCTGAAAGCATATTGAGGACTCATACGGATGCCAATAACATTTTACACCAGTACGTTTGCCCGCTTGGGAAAAAAAAAAAAAAACAGTACTTTGCCCGCTTGAAAAAAAAAAGTGAGGCGGTTAGTCCGATGATAATACCTCAAGGCCATCGCCCTTTTGAAAAAAAAAAAAAAAAAAGTAGTACTGGCCCGCAGTGAAATAGCTGGCGGCAGCGAGCAGGTGCATCCCTGTGGAATCACTTTTTTCAAGTTTTTTGTGACACACACGGACATTTCAGGCCCGTGGGCGATGTATCATGTATGAGCCAAAAGCGACATTTTTGAAAGGGGTGTGTGGTAGAAGGCAGAAATCTCACGAAACGAGGGATCTCGAAATTCTCTGATGTTTGAAAAAAAAAAAAAAATCTCTGATGCTTCACGCTGCTGGACCCGGTTTCCAGCAGGTGCTACTCCCCACCAATAGATTGGAGTCATCCATCCACTGGCAGGTGCCGCGATCCTGTTGGTTCTCTTACCACCACAGGACCGCAGGCTTCCACAGCCTCGATGCTTTGTTAAAAAAAAAAAAAAAAGGTTCCAAACACACCGGTACCTGTGGGCTTATACATCGTCCGTGGGCCCTTGACGTTCACGTCACGCGCACCGTTAACGCGGCTTCGCCGCTTCGGTGCTATGGGTCCTCGGGGCCACAATGGCTAGCGGCGTCAGCCAAAAGAAAAGAAACATTGCGCGCTGGCAGTTCGACAAAGCTTGGCGCGCAGGGCGTTTAGTGCCCCAGCTCCACCTTACAGTCTCCACCCAAATAGAACGTCCGTTCCTTACAGCTGTATTTGGCACAACTTTCCATCCAGATGCAGCGATAATGACCATGGCACAACTTTCAATCCAGATGCAGCGATAGTGACCATGGCAGAACTTTCAATCCAGATGCAGAGATAATGACCAGGCGTTCTATTCGGGTGAAGACTGTAACAGAAGGACTTGTACTCGTTAGGTCCTCTTCTAGTGTAGTCTCGTTAGGTCCTCTTCTAGTGTAGTCGCTATGTAGTTCGGATTAGCCGTTCAGGATGCTGAACCCTAGACAATCTGCGGAATCCCCATACTGATGCTTTGGATCATGAACCCTTTGACTCTTGTTGAAAGCCCCATTGCAAGAGCAAACAGCAAAAAAAAAACTCATGATGACAGACTGCTTTGCTTTGTCAGGCTATTGTATCAAACAGTGACCACTGATTTTCTTATCTTCTAATCAACAGAATTCACCGACCGACGTCAAGGATTGCTATGGATTGCTTTTTTTGCATCTTTTAATCGGACTCATCAGGATGCTGAGCCCTCGTCAATATGCGGAATCCTCCTCAAAAAAAAAAAAAAAAAAAGACGGAATCCCGATACTGATGCTTTGGGTCATCAACCCTATGACCCTTGACAGCCACCACTGACACCAGGCAACACCACAAGCAGAACATATCAGCCGGGAACGACTCAGCTCAGCTCAGCTCAGCTCAGCTCAGCTCAGCTCAGCTCAGCTCAGCACCAGGCAACGACTCGGCTCAGCTCAGCTCAGCACAGCACCAGGCAGCACGGGAAGCACACAGAGTGAAGCAATGCAACCTTTCAATGGCAAAGGGACGTTTGCAGAACAACAGCGCAAGTGGATGGGCAGCACAGCTAGCACACAGAGTGAAGCATAAGGTGACATTGCAAAGCAGGCAAACAGCACGGCACACAAGCAAAGCGCGCGGATGGGCAGCGATGCAACAGCAGTACGAAGCACAAGGGAAGACCGACAGTGGAGCCAAACAACACAGCAAAACCACCAGCTGCAAAGTACAAGATGAGAAGCAAGGGGGAGGGGGCAGGAAGGCAGTGGTGGGGCGGAGACAAGGCAGTCCAGACATCCAACGCAGTGACAAAGCAGTACATCACTGACTCACCCCACAGGTGAACCCCACAGACTGTTGGTTGGTTCCCACAATCTGCTGAGACAAATGTCCATCATCACAAGTAAGAAACACTGACATCCCAACCTGACCAGTCCCCCCTAAGAATGCTGCAGGTACTCCAAATGAGTGACCGATTATTTGGCACTGCTTGAAGGTGCTCAGTTAGACACACAAGTTCTTGGAAAAAACACAAGACAGACACAGAAAA